ATTTAAAGCTATACAGGGTTTTCCCGGGCCAGGGGGTGTGGGCGGGGATTTAAAAGACTCCCCCGGTACCGGGACGACCTGACATACCTATATAACTAATTATAATCAGGCGAAGGAACTCGGAGTCATGCTTGTCCCTCTTACTATGGAGAGAAAATCTGGACTCCTGAGATTCCTGCGCTACTCTCTCAACCGCCTCACTAATACGAAAGTCTGTGGAGTCAAGATGATAAGTATAATGATATTAGAAGATAAACATGAACAATTAAAACATACCTGAAAGATTAATTGAATTACATACTCGTACCGTTTCTCAAGGTAGTCTCAAACACTCAACCAACATTAACTATTACCATTAATTCTCTTTATTCTACTACTACTTTTCTATTTTATTGAAATTTACAACTGTATTACATGGAAAATACAATAAGTAAATGTGACGTTGGTAACATGTCATGTACGACATGAAGAGAAACTACCCATTGGTAGAACTCAAATTAAAGTTCTATATTAGGAGGTCACGAAGCCATCTTCTTTTCAGACGCCTCGGAGGGTTATAGGGATCGAGGAGGTAGCAAGGTTTGAAACGAGAGGATTCGGATGGTTCTGCAGTTTGTTATGGAAGGATAGGTATCTGGATTGGTCCAAATCGGAAACATATGAAACATTAAGGTCTTCATGGATGATTTTATTTGTAACAAAGGAGCGTTGAGCATTTTACGAAGGATTTTGGGTTGTAAGGATTGGATTCGAGAGGAATTCGATGGTTTAGTGTAGCCCCGAAGCTCAATTCCGTAAGTCCAAATAGGTCTTATTATTGGCATATATATGAGTCGTTTGTAATTGGTTGAAAGCTTAGAGCGTTTGTCTAGTAAGTGCTGCAGTAGTCGAAAACGTCGGGCGGTTTTTAGTCGTTTCAGTCTGGTATGGGGGTTCCAAGTGAGTCGTTAGTCAAGTTGGAATCCTAAGTATCGGATTTGTTCGACAGGGATAAGAGGGCTATTGTTGAAGGATACTGTAGGACAGGAATCATAGGTTTACGGCGAAGAGTGAAGGTAATTTGATGAGATTTATTGGAATTTATTTTAATCCTCCAGTTTTGACACCATTTTTCAAGACTTATGATGTGTGATTGAAGAGTTTGGGATGCAATAGATGGATCGTTATTAACTGATAGGATACACGTGTCATATCTTTTTATTCTAAGGTTTTCCTTAATAATTATTTGTATGTGTATGTTTAAATGGTTTTGATTAGTTTAGTTTAGAATTTTTTAGTTTATATTTACTTTTAGTATTATTATATTGCTGTTTATTTATTGTGTATAGTGTGAATGGGCTACTTTTTATCACTATTACTATGCCTTAAATGTGACAGATTGTAATATATCTTAATAAAGAATTTAAAAAATATATATATTATTTATTTTACATTGTTTGACCAACCGATAAAACTTAGCATCGTTATACATTTTTTTAAAACTTATCTATATTTTTTTCTCCAAAAAGATTCATAATAGATTGTGAATTCGTTATTTTTCTTTATTTTCAAATTATGATCCGATCGAACCACTATCCTCCGTCATGCCTAATTAAATAAAAGAGTTTGCAATTATATATTAAGTTGATTACAACTACAACAAATAACAATATGGAAACTAAATAAACTAAGAGCGGTTGGAGAGGTGTAGGTCCCCCGGAGGCAGTCATGTTAAATATTCACCTGTAGAGGGCGGGGGTAAGTTATTGCGCAATCTGGCTGAAACAACGCAGTGCGGCCCGGCAGAGGACAACCTTACCTTGTCGTCAATTAATTGACTAAATATTGATCACATTCCTTATCAACGCTCAAATCTGTATTAGCAACCTCACTTTCAACCTTCAAGTTATTAAAATAAATCTTGATATTATTTTACATTTATATTTCTGTATGAAAGATAGGGATTGTAAGTACGATCAGATGTCAAACTTCCATTTTAGAAATCCTATCAATGTTAAAATGTTTAAGACATACCTTAAACCCAGTAATAATATATATATATATATATATATATATATATATATTATTTATGTATTTACAGATAAATAACTTTTAGATTTTCTAATTTAATCTAACTTACTTTTTCTAACGAGATATAATCTTTATCGATGTCATCCGTCTATTTCGTACTTCAAATACTGGGTAGGTAGAAGAACAAGTGTGTACATCATTTTTTATCTATTGAGATTTTCAATCTCCTCAATAGTTTTTCTTTGGTTGATTTTATTTTTCCTAATAGACACGTTAATACAGAAACGTAGAAGAGCGGTCGGAGATTATAGTAGTTATAGGACTGTATGAACATTACTGAGGGTATTGGTCTTGCATTAGCTTCCTCTCCAACAACTTTTTTTTTTTCATTTTCTTCCTACCTTGACATTTCTGACGAATGAATCTCAATATGGAGGAGGATTATCTTTTAGGTAACTAACCTCTTCAAACCAGAATGGGAAAGTGGAGCTTCTTTTCGTCGCTCTTATATTGACAGACTAACACATGTACGTCTCCATTGTTATCACACTTTAACAAAATTGTCGACGAATGAGTAAATAAACTTAACATGCAAGTCATTTGCAACGTCATCGTTCTGATTTTCAATTCCTGCAGTTTGTGTAATGAAATGAAAATGGTTCTGACTCCGATTCGGTGGCCGTCATCACTAACATGCTATCGCTTAGACGGTTTTTGCATGACTGAGGTGTTACAATTGTTATAGAAAATGAAATGGAAGAAAATGGCGCTAACTATGAAAACTAGAGATGCACGAATTGGTCATTCTCACGAAGTGCTCATAATCATAATCCTCATTGCTGGTGGTCAATGCAAAAGTAAACTTGTTTCTAAAACAGATACAGCTCCTTTCGGTGTCTGAGTTTAGCAGCTATCATTGTTCTACGTCAACGCACTGTTGGTAAACCTCGCCTCACCCTCCAGACCCGGAAGGTCGACAGAAAAACCAAAAAGTTTCGAGACCCACCAAAACGTCTACAATGAAAATGTCTACGCGTACCTCATTTTAATTTTTTATAAACAAATCCAGCAACTACAAGAATACTATCAGGTGGAGATTGGACTACCAGCACCAGAGCTCCCCGAAGCTTTTCGGCATCAGCAGAAGTTGCGAATCTATAAGGTAACAACCAAACGGTGCTGCTTTTCTCTATCATCTTTAGAAGATTTTACTCTGAACCTGTTGAGTTTCCAGAACTAGGTTCTTCAAAAAATTTTCCGAAGCATCATACATCAAAGTGCCTGCAACAGCACCGTAATGAAGAATGACGCCTCGTTTTATTGAAAGACTCCGCATCTACTTCATTGGCCTGCTGCAAACTTCCGTTCTAGGACATCACCCCCCTTCACAGGCGTTTAAATTCTTTCTATTTATGAACACGGCAGTACGTAACAGGTTCGTTTCTCCCCTTTTTTCCACTCGTTTTCTTACTTTTCCCATGAAATATTCACTCTGTCACTTTCATCTGTTCATCTTAACCAATTCTTTTCTTAATGGTAAGTCTTTCAGTTCATATTATATGATTTATTTTTTTCTAGTTTTTAGTCTATTTTATCTTAATATGTGTTTTTGCATGCGTGCGTTCTTGAGAGAGAGAGAGTGTGTGTGTATGTGTGAGCATTTTTTATATAATATTATGATATAATATAATATATAATAATATTATGTAATATATATTTCGAATAAACGCTTAAAAAAATAACAATAGTCTTATTATCACTTATCCATTTTTATTTACACTTTATCTATATTCCTCCTTCTTTTCACTATCCCCTTCCATTTATTCATCATGCCTTGGCTGCCGCTCAAAGAAGTGTTATTTTTAGTTCTAGTTATTTCTTTTTTTGATTAGTTATAATATGAAATAGTATATTGTTATATGTATTTTTCAATAAATAATATTCTATTCTTTATTTGTTTCTAGATTAACATTTGTTCATTAATTATTCTCTCCTTGCTTTTTGCCTACAGGTTCAATTTGATAAATAATCACTATTTACACGTGGAACATGGAATTAAAAATTAATAAATAATAGTATATAAAAATGATTATTAACTTAAACCTATAGGCAAACGTATGGAGAGAATAATAGTTGCTTATTATTACTAACTAATTTCTATTTACTTATTTTATTATCACCTTATCTATATTCCTTCCTCTTCCTAACGCTTTAAAATCTTGTCACCTTTCCAGTACTCCGTTCCATACCCGTACCTTGGCTGGCATTGAAAATGAAGTAGGTTTATTTTATAGAAAAATAGTCATATGAAATGGTATATTGTTATAGTTATTTTTTAATATTTTTTTTTTAATCTTTGTTCTAGTCCTCAAGTCCTAGTCAAGAAGATGCTCAGCTTTCTGTTCTCCTCTGACAATTTCCAATTCTGGGTCTGAATATCAAGATTTTCAATTAGTTCAATTTCTATTTTTGTTAGTTATTGACTATCAAGTGGTTCCCTTGTTTTATATCTAAGTGTTTTCATATAAACATCTGAATGAAAAAAACACAGGTAAATTTAAAGTTATAATTAACCGTTGTTCTGAATGTCTGTATAAGCTTTATTAACGATGATTATCATTGTTCTATAACACCGATATTATTTAAAATGATTTATTACTTTATTTAACTAAATTGTGATGATTACCTTTATGTTTCCATTGAAACAATAAAATATCAGTTAATTATCCCGATATTTCGTAATGGATTTGATACAATTTGTGGTAAATTTACTACACTTGTTCAATTAATATCGTTCAATGAATATGTTTTTTTTCCTTAGTTATAATTGATTTAACTCATTAATGTTGCATGGATGGATTATAAGTAGCTGTACTTAATAATATTATGCACACAACCTGGTCCTATAAATAGAAGACTGCTTAAGCTGCTTTCAAAAGGGTCTCCTTCGTGAAAGAGCTCGCCCCGTGATAAAGGAAAGACGGTCAAGGATGATGACTGCTCTCAGGTATGCATGAGATGACCATAACTGAAGAAAACCTCAGGAACGAACTATAAATATAAAATCAAGGCGCCTATCCTTATCAACATTTTAAATCAGAGATTTGTAACTTATAGATCGGTAAAGCATTTTCATATCAATAATTATTTATAATAACAACGATTAATTGTAATTCTCTAATAAAAACTGGTGTATAATCAGTGTTATTTGCATTTAATTAGCCCTTTACACGCATCCTAAATCCTTCAACATGACAACTGGGGTGATATCATAGAAGATGTTTTTTTCCAACTCTATCCAAACACACATCACACTTAAGCATAACACTCTTTTAAAGTTGTATGTAAAAAATTACACCGACTAAAACCTGTCAATCCAATCGATTATGAAATTACTTTCTGGACTTTATTACAAGACTTTTGCTCTTTTAAAATCGGCCTGTCCCTCTGGTATCATAACATTATACTCATCCATTAACCGCTTTATTGTTACTCTTCCTTTTACATATAAAACAAAAATACATATAAAACTACTAGTTATTGTGATGTGATAACTTTTAACTAACTGTTTTCTAAATAGGAATGATATGATCCTCTGTCCATTCGTTCGGAACAAATTCCAAAAGTCCATATTTGATTAACTCTATGGAATTAATAACTACTAGTGGTTTGTTTGGAATATATCTAACTGTTTTCTTACAATTTTCTGAATGAAAAAAAGAAAAAAAAAACAAGTTAATTTTAAAGTTACAATCAATCTTTGTGATTTAACGATCTGTTTAAAGTAATTTAACGCTACCAAGTGTACTTGTGGATATTTTTATTTTTATAGAATCTCTTTTAGATTCTTAGTCCATTTCTTCATAAATGTCTAGTAGTCGACATCCATTACCGTATCTGTTCTTCCCCATGTCTTCCGATTGCCTTGCAATTAATACTGTTTCCTACGCTTACATTTAAATCTCCAATTCAAAGCAGAGTCTTCCTGTCGGTAACATACTCATAAAGTTGTCTCAAACTCTCGAAGAATTTATCTTGATCTGCTGCAGAATCGTCAACAGGGCCATATGCACCTAGGACGGAAAACAACCGGGTACCCACAGTTTTCATTTCTATTTTAATTTTTCTTAATAATTGATTTAAAAATAAATAAATATTAAGTATCCCTTTTCAAGCACAAATTTAATTGTAGTGGTACAATACCTGTGTGGAAAACTAGTCAGGCAAGCTGGCCTTATTTTAACTCACGGTGACTCAGACGTTTTCTAACAGTCGCCGCATACTAACAGAAGTTTTATAATTCATCTTTTCAGGGATACTATGAAATAAATATTAACTAACCCTGGTAGAAATCGAACCCACTAAGTTTCGAAACTGGCAATCTGGTACACTCGTTCCAGCGTCGTTTGCCAACAAATTCTTCAAGTAGTTCTGTCATGCGCACGCCGCAGCAGATTGTTGTTTTTAATACATGCACCTATCGATCATTTTAACTTATTCTCTGATTTACACATTCTATTAAGAAACATTCACTGGAACTATGATGGGACTGCGACTTCTGTGACGTAGTTGCGGCCTCCAAACGTTTTTGCGCGATAAATATTAATCTAGAGCTAGAATTAATTTATATTTATGTGGTTGTGCGTACCTATTGATTAATAAAAATTGTAACTGTAAAATATAAAGAACTATAGCGGCCTCTAATGATGAAAATATACACCACCTATGCATTATGTTATCTAAATTAGGAATCGTTTTGAAACCTGTAAGTATTTTTTCAACTCAAGAAAAGTTCAGTTTAATACTGGAAGAAATTAAGAGCATTTTACTAGTGACATGTTTTCTATTAAAATTAGGATAAATTTTAGTAAAATCAGAATATATTCTATCCCTATAAAATCCTAATAACTGTTATAAATAAACTCTCTATTCCATAGGGAATGGGGATTACAGGATTTGATCAACAACGGTGGAACAATTATTGGGCATAGCGTCGTTGACCGCAGCCAGGGTACCAGTATATTCGAATTTCAGTTTGATTGCCTAATGGAATTCAGACTGAATGTTGAAGTAAAATTAGTTGGTGAAGATAAATTTCAATAAAAAATTGGTGGTTCAATTCTCTGAATAATTATATTAATTAATGTTATTCTATCTATTTTTAACACTTGGTTTTCTAATTAGAAAAAATATTGATAGCCTAATATTTAAGCTTAAATTAACGGCATATACACAATGGCCTCGAAAAGAGTTCTTATTCATTAAAATTTCATTTTCAACATACAAGTCATGTTCACAAAATTTATTAGGTATAGTTTTATACGTTTAATGAAGTATAGTGTAATCTTATTTATATCACAAATTAGTTTCTTTGTTTTACCCTCTTTGATCATATTATTTATAATATTCGTTGTATAATAAATAGGTTGTAGATCATACCTAAACCTATTTTAAAATTGTATTGATACTTTGTATTAAGTTTGTTTTTTTATAGCACTTATAATTTAATTATAACATATAAGTTCTAGCATCGCCTCACTCAACTTTTGAGTATCTCAATTTCAGTTATGTAGTTTTTTTCACGCCTGATCGAATGAAAATCACGCATATGTAAAATATTGTATCCAAAACGTCTGAGGATTTAAATATGCTAAAAATTATAAGAAGGTTATTAACAACGAAATCGGATGTATTTTAAAGATCTTGTTAATTTTGTTTTTTGTTCATTCTTTTTCTTTTTGTTCAAGTGTTATTCTTAAGGGACCATGTCCCAGAATAAAGTCAATTTTCCATCCATCTGTCTAAAATAAAACACATGGTTCATAACTAAGTTCTTTCTTTGATAATGCTTTGTGAAATTCTACCTCTACGTATTCAAGTGGAATCTTCAACGACATTAGAAAGATTACATTACCTCTAGCAATGAATATGAAAAAGTTTCAATATGAAGAGTTCCACGTCTTTTTCAACTCGGTAGGTTTGAGAGCGTAGCTGGAGTGGATGACAATTTGACTGGAGGGAAAAGAGAAAGGAAATAGGCTTTTCCGAGGAAACAGCCCCCCTTCAACATTTAACCTCTTTTTTTTCCTTTCTTTTTTTTATCCCTTTTTTTCCCTCCTGAACCAACAGTGGAAAAGTTGCTTCCGTAACAGTGACAGTTAACTTAGCCCCTAGTTGGCAAGTTGGATTCGTGTCCACTGCCCGCTCTTCAACTATCCCAATAAACTAACAGGGACGACAAGAATTCAAATTAGTTCAGTCACCGCCTGGTACTTAACCAACGGTTTTCAGACGAATTTTTCCATCTAATTGCTTTTCTTAATTTATTTATGTAATGACTGAAAATAAAACTTCTTAGTTAATTATTTATTTTTCACATTTACGTCATTGTTCATAATTAAATATGTTCAGATAACTTTGCCACTATTAGTTTGCAGCCTCATGTGGCAATAAATTGAAACTTAGGTTTTGATGTATACTATGAAGTCTTTAAATTTTTCCCTTTACCCTGTATATATAGAAAAATTCTGAATGTATTATAATTCCAGAGGTTTAGGGAAAAAAATAAAATGCTAAAATTGATATGTGGGCCCCATGTCATTTTTCGGTCTAATGTCGTGTTTAATTTTTTATTTTATTCTTGTTGCATTTAATTTTATTATTATTTTTATATTTTATATTTTTCCTATTTTTTATGTTCTACTTTTATTTTTATTTTTTTTATTGTTTTAGTTTTTCACTTATTTTTTATTTCCTGCCCTCCTTATGTGGGGTGCCAAAAGAAGTCGAGAGAGCAGGATTGGATCTGGGCGTGCTCACTGAGACTAAATTGAAAGGTAAGGGACAAGAATTGTCAGGTGAATATGTGCCCATCTGGAGTGGTTTGGGAAGAGATGTGCTAGCCAAGGCAGGTGTTTCCATTCTGATAAAAAAACACCTCAAAAATAAGATCACATATTATGCGGAAATATCGGAGAGGAATCAAATCTGGCAGAACGGTTGCATTCATAGGTGTCTACAGTCTTGGTAATAGTGAACCCTCTCTCCCCCCCCCCTCAAGTGAAGGATGAATTCGAAGAGGATTTAGGCTCGTGCTGGAGAAGATCCGTGGGAGCTACAAAGTCATCATTCTTGGGGACTTCAATGCACGAGTGGGTCGCCAAGTAGGAAGTATAGTTGTCCGAAGGAGTGGAGAAGTTCAAATTAGGGACAACGAAAATAGGCACATCGATATCTGTGTAGCGTTCGATCTGCAAATACAGAACACATGCTTTCAGCACAAAAAAAAAAAAAAAAACACTTAAAGGAGTGCATCCACTCTGCAGCCTAGGAGGCGTTAGGGTATGATGAAAAGAGAAAGCAACCAGATTGGTGGTCTGAGGAGGTGTCGGATCTGGTGAAGGCCAAGAAAGAAGTATTTGAGAAATTCTAAGTGTCAAACGGGAACCAGGACTGGAGTGACTACAGAGCCCTGAACAAACGTGTAAAGGAGAAGAATAATTCCTGGGAGAGATGCTTGAAGTATTTTGAAGAGCTTAAGAGCACCACGTAAACGCAATGTTATTTCTTCTATTAGTGAGGAACTGGAAAAAACATTATTAGAACCTCTTTAACAAAAGTAGAGCGGAGTTCATGGCACAAGAGGACAACGCACAGGAAAACGCCAAGCCGGACCATATGCAATTGACGGAGGAAGAAGTTAGTGCTGTTCTGGGCATAGCTAAAAGCGGAACAGCTCCAGGAAATATATGGAGCTTTTAAAGGCCTGCTTAGGTAAGATGCTTACCCCTGTTACCAATGTGATGAACATGGACCTGAAAGGATGTGATCTGCTTATGACCTTCGAACAGGATACATCTGTTTCATCTTTAAAAAAAGAAGATAGGAAGCAATCCCAGAATTATCAGGGCATCTGTATACAGAGCTCAGTGAGTAGAATTATCGGAAGACTCGTCCGGAATAAACTTGAAGAGGAGTATACAACAGGGTTGATACAAACTTCTTTTACAGCTGGGAGATCCCGCATGGACAATATTTTTGTACTCATTGATCTGGAGCAGGCATGTCCTAGTGTTCTCAGTTGGTATACTTGGCTGAGGTAGTGAAGCAATGGATGAAACGAAGTTGGGACTACGGAATTTACTTTGATGACGACGAGCTTCTTACCGTGGCCTTCGCAGATGATCAGATAGTGTTAGCCCGGAAGAAAGTTTTCCTGGAGATGGTGGTTGTCCAGTCAAAGGGAGTTTATGAAGAGGCAGGTCTCAGGATCGACTTTCAAAAGACTGAGTGTATGGCACTAGGAGATAAGGAAGACGATCTACGCATAGGTGATCAGGTCTGCAGAAGAGTAAAGTTTTTCAAATACTCTGTCTGTGGAGTCCGTGGAGTGGTCCTATCTGTAGGAGCTTCCTAAGTGGATGCCCGGAACAAGATTAGGGTGACAAGAAAAGCAACTAGAATCTTACACCCTGTTCTCTGAAACAACACCGTTTCAAACTTGAACAAGCGGCATATTGTCACAGCTATTGTCGAATCCATATCAACCTACGGATGTGAGGTATGGTCGATGACTGCTAGCTTGTATGCCAAAGTTCGGACTGTAGTAATAGATTTTTGGAGAACGTGTATCTAGTTAACCAGGACGGAGTCCGAAATGAGATGATGTGACAGAGAATAAGTGTAGACAAGACCGTCTCTGGGAGGATCGGGAAACGGCGGTTGAGGTGATATGGGTACTGAAAGAAAATGCCAGAAGAGTATTAGGCAAACAGTGTCCTGGACTGGCAGCCATCCGGAAGACTTAGGCGATAACGGTCCAGAACCACGTTGATGGAACGAGTCCGAGAGGAGCGCTGAAGTCTACAGAAGGGAGACTGGAAAGACGTGTGGAGCTCAGCTCTAACCTGAAGAGGTATCCCAAGTTGGAACACCCCCTCCTCCAGAAATAAGTAAGTAAAATATAACTAAGTATTTCATTAAAACAAGTATTAGTTTCATTTCATTTTTTTAAATTATTTTTAATTTTTAAATTTTTTATTATATTTTATTTCATTTAATTGTATTAATCTTTTTATATGCTTATTCTTTTACATTTATATTGTTTTAGTTTTTTCTTATTTTCTATTTATGTTATTAATTTTGTTATATATTTATTTAAATTAATTGTTTATTATAGTTTTTATTTTATCTTTTTTTCAATTTTATTTTAGTTACATATTTTAATTTGGTTAATTTAATTTTATTTTATTAAATTTTTATTTGATTTATTTATTATATTTTTATTTTATTTAACAGTATTAATCTTTTTTAATTATATTTTTTAAATTATATTTTCTTAATATTTTTATTTTATATAATTTTGTTAAAATTAATTTTATGTTTTATTTATTTATTCCTTTTATATTTTATTAGGGACCGCCTCCGCGTACAGTTCCTGAATAACTAACCACGCTTGGTTTCAATGTACGTCAGATATGCCACGTCTTGAAGGATAACAAGGAACAGGCAGAGTTAAGATATAAAATCCCTCTACCTTTGTTTTTCGTAGACTTGGAGCCATCACCAGGTATCGAACAAATATATGATATCACAATATTATATTAAACGATGGTGAAAGTAGAGCAATTCTGCAGTGTCATAATTGTCAGGCGTACGGCCACACGAAGACTTATTGCCACCATCTGCCGCGTTGCGTGAAATGCGGTGAACAGCACAAATCTGTGGAGTGCACCAAACCGATACAAGATCCTGCAGTTTGTGCACTATGCCTAGAGGGACACCCGGACAACTACAAAGACTGCCAAACTTATAAGAACCTCAAATCCAGATACCAGGAGAACCAGATTCAAGATGAGACCACCAGACCTAGAAGAAAACCTTCTATAATTGTTAATAATAATGTATCATTCTTCGAACTACTTAGAGGTAAGAACCCAACTCATAAATGTCAAGCCCTTCCGCAACAACAATCTCAACCCCAACCTCAACATCCTATTGATCCTAATATACCAGACCATCAACAACAATTTCATCATATCCCTCCTCCTTCAAATGCAACAGATCTCACCAGTTTGTTAGCATATTTCCTCACCGATTTCAAATCCCTAGTTACTCCATTCATATCATGACTCACATCCCAAAACCTATATCCATTCTCCTTTGTAATACGAATGGTGTTAAAATCACGTTAACGAACTAACAGCTTTACTAATTGACAAGAACATCGACGTAGCACTAATGACGGAAACTCGACTGACCATAAAACAGCTTTTTAAAATATCTCAATGCATAACATACCGTACTGACCATCCTGACGGTATTGCACATGCTGGTATTGATGTTATTGTACACCAATCACTCAATCATCACCAGCTCCCATTACCGGCTCATGATTTCCTACAATCCACCGCCATCGTAATCAAAACCTTCTCCTTTCCCGTCACCATAGCATCAGCATATTGCCCTCCTAACAGATCCATATGCAATGTCCAGTTCGGTTATCTTCTCAACAACTTAGGATATCACTTCATCCTGGGTGGAGATTTAAACGCCAAACATCATCAATGGGGTTCTAGAACCACGACTTCTTGTAGTAGAACATTGCTATCTGCACTCAATTCCCAATGTTTCAGTCTCCTTCTTCCTAACTCACCTACTTACTGGCCCACAGATTCTAACCGCAATCTCGATATCCTTGATTTTTTCAACAACAGTGACTTAGGTCCCCTCAATCATTCACTTGCCCCTTGTCTTGACGAACTTTCCTCAGATCATAGTCCATTATTACTCCAATGATCTCTAGCTCTAACTCTTAAGCCTCCTCTACCGCCCTTCTTCAGAGGCCCAGTTAACTGGAAATTCTTTCACCAAATCCTTTCCGATAAAATTGACCTCAGAATAACCCTGAAAACCCCAGAAGACCTTGACAATGCCGTACATTTCTACACCACCACTATTCAACAAGCAATCAGGACTGCTTCCTCTCTAAACCACTATTCAAGAACTCCCAAGAAAAGTAAGTTACCTCAACACCTCATTGACCTAATCCACACCAAACGCCGTGTCAGATTATTATGGCAACGTACTAGACACCCCACCGATCGTCAATCCTATATTTATTTCTGCAAAAAATTAAAGCAGGAATTGGTCACCTTCAACTCCCAATCATTCAACTCCTACCTTACTTCCTTTCTGCTCAGGACAATTCCCTATGGAAGATCACTAAAAAAATCCTAAAACCTCATATTTCATATCCTCTCCGTCGAGGTGATGGCTCTTGGGCAGCGTCTGACGAAGATAAAGCCGATGAATTCGCCAAGCAAATTTCCCTTACATTTACATCTCATTCGGAATCCAACCCCAGCAACACGTCAGCAGTAGAGGAATTCCTTAATTCACCCATCTCACCCTCCTTACCGCATAAAGTTTTTAATCCTTCTGAGGTCAAATATCACTTACAAAAACTACCTACCAGCAAATCATCTGGATAAGACCTCCTTACCTCTCAGATCCTTAGACAACTTACATACATTTATTTTAATATATTCCAATCTCCCATGCCACTATGGCAATACGGGTGTTTGCGATAAAGTGTTATTAGGCATGAATGCCTAATAACACACTACTACTTGTTAACAAGATGTGCAGTTCTTCTGTTCTTTCTTCTTCTTGTTTCGGTCTAGCTTTCTGAATCTGGAGGTCTTCCTGGCGCTTTTCCTCTTCTTCTGCGGGCACCAATATGGAAGTGAGAGGGTCCCACCACCGTCTTCCATCCATTGTCCTCGCTCACTAACTGAGGAAACTCATTTTCAGAGAGGACTTAGATTCCCGCGGCTCTTGTCGTTGTCGCTCTTAACGTTTCAAATGCGGTGTAGGTCGTGACCACGTGCTCTACAGTTTCCGGAACACTACAGATTGGGCATAGAGGATCTACATCTATGCCCAGACGGTGAAGTTTAGCTCGAAATCCTCCATGCACATCCAGTGAGGAACTGGAGAATCCAGTAGTTCGGAAGGACCCACTTTGCC